AAAAATATATTGGACTCGTTTTGCGAATATTTTCATCTTGCCCTTTTCTTTTAGGGAATTTTATCTTTAAAACCGATCGATCTTCTACGCTTCGAGCGTACTTTAAATTCGTTAGCTATAATATTAATAGATTATCCTTCCGGGACATTAATTATAATAGGAGCATTCTTAGCAAGGATATGTATTTTAGTTACTCATTTAAGATCCGAGAATGCATCTGCGCGTTGGTTTCAATACGTTGTAAATGAATTATCTTTTGAACTTCTAGTTCACATTACTTCTACAAGAATCAATGTGATATAAGATAGAGTACTCCATGTAATCTTTTTTTTTAACATTTTCAACTCGCTTATTTTGCTTATTCTCTCCACCTAATGTTGAAAAAACTATTTCATCAAAATGACGAGTCGATAAATCGAGCTCGCAAAAATTTTCTCTTGTTCATAAATCAAGAGATTGAATTATCGAAGAGGATTCATATATTCCCAATTTCTTTTAAGTGCTTATTTTATTTCATTATAGAGGAGCACTATGGATATACACTACAATGCCAAAAATTCATAAATAAGAAATAATTGGCTCATGACCATAAATCAATTGAAGAGGAGAGAATTTCGATAACTTATGGGTCATATGCGAATAAGTGTTGTTGCATGTAAGATCGCATGTCCTCAAACATAAACATAGAGTTTTATTTTTAAATAACGGTTTAGCTATTAATTCGAGCCTTTTGATAAATGATTTTGCTAAATCTTTTTGAGTATGAACATGAGCAATAAGATGTTCAACCTTTATTTTAATAGCCAATCAATAATAATTTAATGCTTGAGAAATAAATTCATCAACATTATCAAGGTGATTTATTTTAATGGCATAATTTGAAAATTATGCTCGAAATCAAATTATTTGCTAGCAATCTCGAAAACTTCGGGTTTCGAGTAGATAATAAGTATATATGTGACCATCTTGTTAATGCATTTATCAAAAACATGGTGGATGAATTGATCCACATGGTGGATGAATTGATCCACATATATCACCTTGAATACATATTAAAATACTAAAGATTCAATCTAAATTTTACTTGATGATGGCTTAATCATCAATTTAGCTTAGCAACATGCAAGACATGAAAGTTCATTAAATTGAAGAATCTTCGGCTTTTCAATAGATATCCATATGAATTTTTTAATAATTTTTCGCATCATGAAAGACTCAAGATAGCACTAACTGGTCATGTCGGATAATAAAAGTATTTGAATTAGTAAACTTCGGTTTACTATAATATATTTTGTTTTCAAGCATTCCAATGTTGGTAATAAAGAATAGATGAGAAAGCGAATAATTTCTCTAATACATGCTTTCTATCCGATATAATTATAATATCTAAGAATTCAATTTTTGACATTTGTCGTCTTAATATAATGTCCATTTAGATAAATATATTTGAAACTCGAAAAATTTCTATGAGACTTTGAAGAGAATATTACATCATTCATAATAAATTTATCATTTCGGATAATAACATATTTGCTCTTACTGAGTCTTTAAATTGTGTTACTTCAAGCAATAATATATCGACTCTTCTAGAGCCTTTAAACATTTTCTCTTCAAATAATAATTTATTCACTCTTCTAGAGCTTTAAAAATTTATCTCTTCAAGTCATGATATAATCGCTCTTCTAGAGCCTTCAAAATCTATCTCTTTAGATAATAATATAGTCGCTCTTCTAGAGCTTTCTATTAGATTGATATTATTATATATAATATTAACATAAAATAAAATAATCAAATATATTCCTCATAAACATAAACAAATAAATAAATAGTAAAATACATTTGTAACCATTAATATATGACATAAATTATAAGAAATATAAAATATTTTATTTATAAATAGAAAAACTAACAAGTAATTAATTTCAATTACTATTACTTTGATATATAAAATTAGCCTCTATATTTTACCTTTTTTTTTATTTAATTTTTTCAACAAGGTTTGAAAATGCTTGATGAGGTGCTTTGGTGTACGGTTGGTACATGACTAATGTCCATTCATATCATATTTATAACATGTCCTCCTTGAGAATGCTGATTTTATCTATTTTCATTCTTTTCTTTTTTTCATAGTTATCCACTTATGGTGGTGAGATGTACTATTATGGTCATTACGATTACAATGATAATTATTTCGACCATATTCATGGCTATGACCACATCTTCATCCATGTCTAAAATTATTATAAATTATCACATTCACTTCGGGGAATGGAATAGATCCAATTGGATAAGATTTATTTTTTTTCATCAATAGCTTTTCATTTTATTTAGCCATGAGCAAATATGAAATCGATTCATAATATTTCTTAAACTCTTTTTCTTGATATGCTATCGTAGGAGCATATTCGAGGCATGAAAAGTAGATGATATTAACTTAGCATTGAGCACTCATGATCAATAATTTTTGCCCAAAATGTCAAGGGTCACAAAATCAAGTTTTGTGATTGTTGATAATATATCATTAAAATTGTATAATGCAAAGTATAATAATAATGTTAGGAAATAAAGACAAAATATAATAATAAAATTTGAACATTTCAAATAATATATATTAAATTATTAAAATTTTTCGAATATATATTCTATGTATCATTAAATTTAAAATACATAATAAATTAGATACACACCTCTTAATTATCTAAATAATAATTTAGATTCAATCGGTAGAGCACTTGTGCAAAAGAAATCCAATGGTTGAAATAATTGATTAAGTGTTTTGATAGATACATACCTCATGGTCTATTATCTCGATTGGTTAGAACTTCGTACCGATAACGTGTTATAAAATAAATAGAAATAATAGGAGAATTGAAGAAAAGGATGACAAGAAAATGAAATCACTATAATATATGAATATGAGCGATAAGAACTTCAAAGTTTCTCTTATTCTCTCTAGGAAACTTGTATATCAACAAATGAACAATCAAGCCTATTTATAGGTCTCAAAATTGAGATGAGAATTGGAAGGGACTATGAATAATTAAAAGTACATCAATTGTATCACCCTTTCAATTTCTCATATTGAATGGTGAATTGAATCACATTAAGGATTATGAGTAATGGGGATATGAAAAGTAGATGGATATTCATATGGACATTCATTATTTTATAACAAGTACAAGCACATTTACTTATTTTTTATTATTATTTTTTTGTTTTGCACTTTTCTTTTTAGAAATTTGCCCGTGTCCTTCGAAAGCTTGAGATAGCGCAGGGGTTTATGCTTTTCACCATTTAGACATGTCCTAGGCCTCTCCCTTTTATTGTTTTTACAATAATTTTGTTTCAGAACTTTTAAGAATTTTAATATTATAATTTTATGAATATTTTATGTAAGCGAGCTAAATAGCTTAATTCTCAGTAAGGTTTGTATTGTGTTTCCAAAACAAAACGAAATTTAATCAAAAATGCTTTTCAATTAAACGCCACCAAATGCGTAGTAAATGCCAGATTAGTATAAAATCTTACAAACAAACAAATAAGAGAATGTAATGAAACATTCAATTCCGTTATATTGCATGATTCATTGTTTAGTTTAGAAACAATATGCATTCATAACTATTTGTAAAGCCTAACTCCTAAATGGCTTTAAGCATTATCCTAAAATCAAATAAACGACATTTGACATGACGCAATGTTAATTTAGAAATAGCTGTGTGACCTTGCAAAGCTACGTTGGCTGTTGTTAGAACTTAGAAGTTGTAACATATACTGGTTCCTGTCTGCTAGAGAACTTGGGGTTTTAAAAAGTGGAGCACGCAATTGTTGGGCTTTTATTATGAATCCAAGTCAATTGGGTTTTTGGTAGAAACAAGTCCAGGTGATCCGAAACTATTTGGAGCAGATCAGACAAACTTGGGTCGGCACTCTATAATCAACGCTTAAACTTGGCACCTTCATATCTTGTCAACGTTGATCAAGCAGACCATATGGCCTAAAGGATCATAACAAAGACCGTACACTTTCAACCCCTCATAATGGATTATTTTTTCCTTCGAAAATGGGTTGATTCCAGGTTTCTGTTAAATTGAGAGAGAGCATTTGAAAAGATGGTGTTGTGTGCGTGAATTTTTGAGAAGGCCACGATCCCATCAAACATGGCTTACGCGCCGTTTTGTCAGGACCCAAAAGAACAACATATTAAAGGCAGCTCCAACCATATAGTATATAACAATGTTTGAATGCTCCATGCTCCCACGAGGAGATTCTAGCATATCGTGTTCTATTACAAGGGTGCAGCATCACGATTATGATTAACAAGCCAGCATCTGCATCTATTACCCTGACAAAATGTTTGTTTAATTCGAGCCTTTCATTGAAAAGATGGTGTTAAGAAGAAATGGATCCAAATAATTTACGTTGGAAAAGTTAAATTTTCGAATTACGAAATTCTATGGATATATTTGATACGGATTTAATGTGTTTAAATTCTACAATAGCAATGATAAAGGTGGTTTGCTCGAAAAACAGTGAGGAAGGGAATTAGTAAGAGGATTAAAATGTACACCCCAAATATATAGTGCAAATTGAGGACTATGAATTAGTAAGGAGGTTGATTAATTTACACCCCCAATTAGCTGTTATAAAGAGACAGATTTTTCTAACAACAAAGATCATTCATCTTGCTCGCATAAATTTATCGAGAAGTCTGAATTATGTCTACTTCACTTACTCTTGTCAACAACACTATCTATGTAGACTCAAGATTCGGTACATTTTACAATGGAGTAATATTGCAGTTGAAATATCCACTCTAGCACTCTCGATTCCAAGTTTAATCTAACATGAAAAGGAGGAACAAAACTGAGCTACTAGGTTAAAATTTACTGCCCAATCCAAGGGGAAATTTCTCTAGGCCAGCACCATAGGAGACTTTGGATGCACCATCTCTCTTTTCAATGTTGGCGAGGCAGGAACAACTAACGCACTGCCTAACTCTATTAGGCAAATAATTCCGAATCGTCAAATGGGAAAGTGGTATCAAAATCGACATTATCGATTGAGATATCCAAATCCCCGATTGGCGAATTCGTCACCGAAGTTGGGGCTGAAATGATCTCGGTGGTGAGTTCAGAATCTGGGGTTTGCACATTTTGGTAACCAATGCCGAAGCTGTTCATATGGCATGGTGACATTGAGAAATAGTTTGATTCAGACGTTGCTGGAGATATAAATGTTGGAGACAAGCTACCCAAGAAGTTGTTTTCCATCATGGACTCGGTGAAAATATTGTTTTCCTCATTTTCATTCCCAAATGATGTACATGGGAAGGAAAAGGATGGAAAAATGTCGTTCTTAGAGCCCATATCCTCGGTTTTGACTTGAAGACAGTCTGATCCAAAGTTAAGAACTATCTCCTTTGATGGCTTTGGTTTCCCTTCATGCTGCTGCTGACAATGATATCTGCTTTGTTTTGAGAAATTATTTTTTGGGGAAGGCGATGCCACCACGGATGAAGGAGAGGCCTGGTTACACGTATGTCTCCCTCGATAGGTCACTTCAAAAACTGAATGGTCCTCATCAGATTTTTGCACTTGCTTCGTGGCCAAACAGCCTTGGGAATGACGGTGAGTGCATCTGTAGTATCCCCTGCAATTTGCCACGCCACGCCAATGAATGTTAAAATTATTTCTAAACAAGCCTAATCACATGGATTAATAAGATGATTAAATCAATGTGTCCTAGCTTCTCTCTTTCCTAATACATGCTCAATGCTTGTCAAAACCATAGTGGCCAAATCAGACAATTTCAAATGGGGAGTACTAGAATGCCGCTTTAAGCTTAGTACGATGGGCATCAAATTTGAATAAAATAACAAATCCAATAATGTTGGGGACTATTGGCATCGTATCATGCTAAAAATATACTTTAACCACCTTAGTTTTAATTATTTGAAGCATCATGCTTACCAGGCTTAAGGATGAGAGTTGCTACAATTAGAGATGAAAATTATTCAGTCTAAACCGAAAAATCGAATCGAATTGAATATTTCAATTTGGTTTTTTTTTCAATTTTTTTTTTAAAATCAAATCAAATTTAATTTGATTTTTAGGTTTTAATTCCATTTTTTTAACCAAAAAACCAAATAGTGTATATATATAATCTAACGTTAAGAAACCATAAAACTAATTTACTAGTTCTACTCTTTCTCTATTTTTTTTATTTTTGTATTGCTAAATAGATTCTATAATGATTGTGGGTTATATTATTTAATTTGGATGTTTGATGCTATTTTGTAATTAATTGATTGTAATTTTGAAACGATATTTCTTATTTTTTTCAAAATAAAATTATGAATACGTAGAAGATTTAATTCATGCTAAAAATGATTTTCAAAAGAATAAAAAATCATAATATTATTTTTATATTGAAAAAAGCGAAATTTTCGACTACAAAAATAAAAAAATCAAATAATACTTAGATACGAATTTAGTTTTAACTTTTATGGATCTGATAATCGAAAACTGAGTTGAAACCAAAACCGACAGATTCAAAGCAAATGCCAGTACTTTGATTGGAGCCTCACCCACCAGATAAGGTCTGGTACCGTGCAATTATGACATAGTTAAACACCTGTCCACTCTTTTTATTCGTAAAATTTGGATAAGCAACAGTTTTTTTTTTTTTAAGGAAACAGTTAACAGCGTAATTTGAGAAAGCAAGAAAAGCTGTCTCACCTTGGAAAATTAGCTCCGAGAATATCTTTTTGCCCGTATTTCCTCCAGCTATAACCATCATCAAGAGGCCCTTCTAGACCAGTCCCTGAACGAATCTTCACTTGCTCAGTCCACCGAGGCTGTGTTTTTCTACAACAACACACAATTCCCGCTTCTAAGTTAGATCATCATCACTCACAGTTCAGCTAAACGCAAACGTAGTGTGTGTGTGTGTATAAAGAAGTAAAACAGGTTTTTACCTCTTCTTGGAAACATTTTTGTCACATTCCTCCTTGCCATCTTGATCAGAGACCTCACTCCTAGGACTACTGTTGGCAAATGAATGCAGTGATTCCATCATGCCCATTGTGGGCTTTGGTTGATCAGCAGCTAAAGCACCCCAATTTAGCATTGACAGTGCTTTCTCATAAGAAGAAAGTATCTTCTCAACCAGAAATTTACGTGATTCGAGAGATGAGGAAGGGTTAAGCTGGTTCCTAAGCTGTTTCGCTAGCTCTTTTCCTCGAGTTAGCTCACTAATGAGAGTCTTTTGCTCCCATTCCATGGACTTTTCCATTCAGAAAACACAGCAAGGACAATACAGCTATACTTTTGAAGAATTAAGTTGCAGAGTGATTTGGCCCAAAGTAATTAACAAACAGAGGAATCTTATTCCATCAAGATTGAGCTTCGCACACTCAAGTGTAGCTAGGAAGAGATTCTGGCTATGTGAGCAAAGGGTGTATACAAAAACGCTATGTTAAGGCTTTGGATTGAAGAATCAAAGCAACAAACATAGAACTGGATAAAGAAAGAGAACTATAAGTCTAGTTTTATAAAGAAATGATCTGAGCCGAAACAGCAACAGTGTCTCTCTTGAACGCTTGCTAAAATAGGGAAAAAAGAACAGAATGTCAAGAGTAGAAATGACCTGAGATGCCGAATTGGAGATGTGGATGGAGGAGATATGAATGTAAAGAATGCTATGTGTATGTAGGAAAGGGAAAGATTTTCTTGCTGATTAAGAACCTGTGAGGAAGATGTAGATATAAAGGAGGGAAAAGGGAAGGAAGAGACATGGAACTCTTGACTGGTGAAAAAGCGGGTCTGTTTTTTTCACGAAGCTGGGGCCAGTTTCTAGTCTTGAGAGGGGTCGATTGAAAGGAGAGTGTGAGAGAAAGATTCAACAGCTGACCATTTCAAACACCAGTAGAGCAATGCCATGCCCCACACACATAGACTCACCAATCACTGCTCTTTGGTTCTCACTCTCAGCTTTTAACAATCAATCGTGTTCAGTACTAAGTAACAACGCGGAAGAAGGTTTGAAGCTTCTTGGTGTTCTCATCCTTGCTTCATAGTTCACACTCTGACTTTCTAGTACTCGTAGCTTCTGTAAATATTATAATATAAAAATTTAGGGAAAAAAAAAAGGAAAATAGAGTTCTGTATAACTTAGTCCCTATAATTTGTTGAAACTAATTTATTAATCCTTTTAGTAAGAAAAATAATTAAATAACCCCTTGTTTTATTGTGTTTTATTTTTATTTTTTCAAAAATTCCTTCTTATCTATTTCTATTTTCCTATTTTTATTTCTTAAAAAGAAAAATTTTAAAAAGTAAATTTAAAGAGAACATAAAATTGACAAAGAATTACTAAGTTATAAATGGATTTGAAAAAAATAGAGAGGACAAATATATAGTTTCTAGAAAATAAGGATTACTTAATAGTTTGTTCAAACTACAGGGATTAAAGTTACAATCCACTCGAGAAAAATAAGAGAGGTAGAGATGGATGGATGACGTATGCTGGGGCGTCATGGGCGATCGCTTGCCTACGCTGATGTTGACAGATCATCCATGTGTGTCCATGCACACATTTGCATTTCGCACAGAACGCAGCTATAAGATGATATAATATGTAGGTAAATATAGTTTATTTAATGATAAGTGTGCCCCTTTCCTCTGTCTTTGGGACATAATCCTGTCTGCTTGGAATTTCTAATGTGTTTTTTAGCAACAAAAAATATATCTTCTATTAATTTTTTTTTTTCATTCTCTAAATTAATCTATGTAGATGGTGGTTGTTATCCGTTGGGATGCGATATTCAAACTTTTAATGCGTAAATGAGGGGGAGAAAAAAAAACTACCTCGTTAACTCTGGCAGTACTATTCGTATTTCTTGGAAACTGCTCTGTGTTTGATCCCGATTCCCACGTCTGGTCTTCTGGCCATTTTTTTCAGTTCACCTTGGAAACAATCAGCGACATAAGCGCGTCCATGTGCTTAATTTAGTTATCATCAAACTTTTGTAATAAAGGTGCATGCACATCTTTCCAACCTTTGATAACGAGGATATGTAATTTTAAGGAGTTATTAGGTCTGTATCATGTAGATGTATGCTATCTCATTATATGAGTAAAATCATTTAATTGTATGATAATTTATTATTTTTTTGTTTAAATCAAGGTTATTATTAAAACATTTTGTTTTAATATATATAACAAAAATTAAAATATTATATAGTTTTTTTTTTCGGAACTCGAATCAATAAGAAGGATCATGTCCATGTGTTCTCCTTGAATGAAGGATCAATCCCATGTTTGCAAACACTCGGTTGGTTTCAATTACCTCATCACCAGCCAGGACACTATCCTTATCAAACATTAATCGCTTATATGACGCTAGGTCATACACTATTATTTCTTAAAAAATCTAATAGTAATAATCGTGATAAACGATAGCCACCTATAACTGTTCCAGATTCATCACAATCCTAATCCGTCTTTTTTTGTTCTCATTCATCAATAGAGAACTCGCTCAAACGTGACATATAGTGGTCCAAGTACACCTTTGGCGTATATGGACTTGTACATATAAATGCTTCTCTTACCCACTAAAAGGAGATTCCATTTACTCTTTGAACTCCACACTTATTTTTTTCCTCTGCTTTTCGCAAAGAACAAAACTTCCACCAAATCAGTCACTACTTGAGCAAACATATGGTTAGCCAGCTTTACCAGCCCAAATTCTGAAATTAGACATCATCACAGATGATAGTCTCGTTAATTAAATGATGTATAATCTGTGATCGAAACATTATTAGATCTTAAGAGTAGTGTTATGGGATGCGCAAAATGTAGTAATTTTCCTTGGCAAAATTACCTTTGACAATTTTATTTTATTTTATTTTATAATTATTAAATAGATTTCAAGAATTAAATGATCATATCATATCGTAAAATGTATTTTACAATCTCCTATTAATAGCATCGCATATGTCCTGCTGATGATTTGGGGCTTATATCACGTAAACCAACAAATTTAACAAAATTATCGGTATCTTTGACATAATTCAAAATTTAATTTGATATCGATTTACCTACGTAACTTTGCGAAACTTTGCATTGCGTGAAGTTTACAATGCTGAAATTTCTAAATTATCTTTACTTGTACACCCTTGATACATAACTTAATTTTAAGTCCTAAATAACATCGGGTAAATGTCCGTCTCTAAATAACAAACAAACGAGAGATGGAATAAGTAAACAAAGACGAAATAGCGTCCGTTAGAATCAATGACGGAATAGAAATGAATTGGCGACGTAAATCAATCTTTCGCTAAATTTAATTTGTAATTAATTAATTAATTTTGTTAATTTTGTTTAATTGGTTGAATTATAAATTTATTTATATTAAAACTTGTTAATTTATTGTTATTTTAAATTTAATTTAGTTAGAATTAGAATTAATTAAGTTAATTTGATTTATATTTAATTAATTAATTATATTAATTTTTTTTAATTGCTTAAATTATAATTTTATCTATATTAAAACTTTTTTTGAAAAAAAAATTATTAGGTTAGAATTAGAATTAATTAGTTTAATTATTTGATTTATAATTATTGAAGTGTGTTGAGATACATCGTAGTATATCAAACCCAAAAGGTTGAAGACTTCCAGGAATTAAGGAGAAATAAGGTTACTTTAATACTCCGTAATGGAACTCGGGAAGACGAGTTTGAGATTTAATTTCGATGAAGTATTCGACATAATTAAAATTCTTGATGTGCATAAATTGATTGTTGATTAATTTTATTTCAATGTTTATGTGATCATTTAAAGTATCTCGTCAATTGAAAAATGTGCAATTTACGAGAGGAGATTTTGATGAAATTTTGTTAGATATTTAGAAAAATCATAGTATAGTTTTAGTCAAATTTTTATTCATTTGTTAATCTGTTTCATGTGTTATTCTTGAGTTTTGTCTCGTGAATTGGATAGATCTAGTTATGGTGTCAATTGTCATAACTTTGATGTTAACTGTGGAATTGATAATGACGAGTGTACGTGGACATGGCACTACTAGTGCAAGTGTTCGAAGTCACATAATTGATAGTGTTGCTAACACATTTGCATCCCCTCTAGTAGTGCCCTCGCCATTTATGCCTCTACCGATAGTGCCTCGTGCTCGTGAATGTCCCCATAACGGTTTCCTCAACTACAAGAAGCTCTACTAGATTTGATGATGGATGGGCCATTTGGGCCGTGAATAATTAGTAAGTAATATGTTTTACATACGGTAATTAGTTTTCTTATTTCATATATTATATTTGAATCATTAATTTACTTATTTATTGTTTGTTTATTTTGTTTGACGAGTTTGGTTTCATCAAGTAAGTGCTTTACAAAAATCATTGTAATTTTCAAAGAGGAGTCATATGTCCCCGACTCCATATGGAAGTCTATCTCTATGGAGATGAAAGATTTTTAGTTTAATGAGTTTAGGATAACATATTAATTATTTACTTATATTTCATTTAAAGTGTTAATTTAACATGAAAAGTACTAATATTATTTTTTTGCTTAATGTAAAAGTACTTTTTATGGGATGAGATTGTCGATGCATTGATTAAAAATACATGGGAGAGTCTCGCCACGGAGGTGATACGACGACATGCTCGAAGAAGTCGAAGAATAAGAGTAATAGACTTGCGTTTGTTAAACATGAGATGTAGGAAGCATGATATTGAGATTGGGCTACTCTCAAGTATCGAGTTCGATCTCGGCAAGTGTCTCGAAACCACATATTGAAGACGGATCATGTTGGTGTTGGCCCATCCAAACACACTAGAGGGTTCATCTCTTTTCTTGAGCACCCTAAGCGTTTGGTAAATCCTATATTATCCATTGTGTAATAAATTAATTTTTGTATTCATTGTATCTCATATTATTTTATCTATTTTTTCGAATAATAAATTAGGTCGTAACCCAAATCCTTATAAACCGGTCATGACCACCACAAGTCGAAAGATGGTTCATTCGTTGATAGGCGACCGTAGACAATAATGATAAGGTTTTAGATTTTTTTAAATATGTATACATCTACCGATATACTCTAAAAATATATATTTATGATTTAATAGTGTAATTATTTCAATGACATAGGAGCACATGCAGTTAGTGCAAGAAGCGACTACTAAGGAGTGACGAAATGTGATTCATCATTTTCAAATATCGACATGTCCAAGATATATTTGGATGTTATTGAAAAAGAGAAAAAACGAAAGTATAGCATTGGAACTTATGCGTCCATGTGTTACTCATATTCTAGTGTCACCTCCTTTGCCACTTCGTGGTATCCTAGTGGTAATATTTAAAAGGTTTCTATCCAATACAAAAATAAGATCAAAAGGATAGACGTTATCATCCAAGCAATAAATCAATAAAGTTAGCACCATATAAAATCGGTTATAGACAATGATGAGGTTGTTACAAAACCTTTAGCAGACTCGCATCCCTCTTGCCGACCCTTCCACAACTCGGCGATCAACTGTTTGTCTCAACACTTAGCAGACGAAAAATGATGCGGGAGATGATGATAATGAGGATTAGATTTCTTGTTTTTTAAAAAAATGTTTTTAATACTTTTATACACCTTAACACATTTATATATTTATTTCATTTTAATTTATACTATTTTAATTTTATTAAATAATATATTACATTTTAATAATTGTTATTTATAATTTTTTATTATTACAATTAATAATAATGACTACCGATTAAAAAAATTAAAATTTCTTTTATTTAGCGACGGAATAACGAGGATATTTAGCGACGGATACGGATATGGTCACTAAATAGAGACGGAATTGTGAGAATTTCAATGACTATAATTAGTGACATCCATTCTATCTCTATTTAGCGACGGATGTCGGTTACCATAGTGACAACATGATAATAGATAAAAGACCTTATAGACAACTCGTTTTAAATCGATTTATCGATGAAAATTCAAGAAATAAGCAATGAAAAAAAATTTAGGTCGTTAAGAAAATAATGACCATCATATTAGCAACGAGATCTAAATCGTCTCTAATCTATCATTAATTGTATATAACGATAGATTTTTGACATATAGTGATGAAAAAATCCATCGCTATATGCAGAATTTCGGTAGTGTTTGTGATCTTTAGCTAGCTTCTCAAATGTATAATAAGTTGGTTTGAGTATTTAAGTATTTATTATTATTATTTGTTATGAAGGAAAAATGTGAACTAAAGACATTTTGGAAAGACTAGCACATTGATTTTTTTTTAGGAGAGGGCAGACTAATTTTAATTGTCATTTATCATCAGTGTTTGGCCATTTCATTCCTTAAAATAATTTAGTTCATACCTAAAAATCCAATTAGTTGATTTACTTCATTGCTAAATTTTTTAATTGAATTAGTTATATGTACTTCTTAACCGTAAGATCAATTTCCTCCTCATTTAACTTGATGTCTCAAATTCAGCTTTCGTTATTCAGTTACAAATTAACTCTTCGAACTGAAAATCCTTCCACTTTGGATTGTTTTGTCTTTCATGCTTAAGCATTAACCATCTAAAAAAATCGCATCCTGAAAGAAAAATGTGTTGAGGGAATGTTAAAAGTAGCAAACCAAATTTGTGGTTAGCAAACTTAGGCTTGTATTGGCTCTAAGAGTTTGGTGAGTTTTTTTTTTTTCTTTTTTCCAACCAAAAATCAAAATGCAAAGTTGGTTGTGGATCTGCATGTATTTTATGTCAAAAACTCAAAGGCTATTTTTTTTAGCAGCCTCATTTTAGAGTTTTTGTAGTTTTTTCTTCATACAAACAATAAATTTTATCCTAATAATTCTTTTAATTAAATATCTTTGGTTTATAACCATCACAAGCCTTACAACTATAGCCATAACCCAACCTCTAAGA